CTGGGAGAGCTGGACGGCGCCCTGGAGAGCGGGCAGCGGGTCCTGGAGATGGTGACAGGCAAGTGGGGCTGGCTGGAAGCGGCGGCTGCAGGGTCAGGACCACGGGACGTGGGAGGGAATGAGCACAGAGCGCTGCTCTGGGCTGTGCCAGCATCGAGGGGACCCCCAGGTGCTGGGTGTCCTCGGGCGCTCCGCTCCCCACCGGCGGCTGCCAGCATCTGTGGGAGCATGGTGTTGCGTGATGGGGCACGCAGCATCCCGTCGGATGGAGGGGGGCCGGGGGAGATCCTGGCCCATGGGGGTCAGGGCCACAGGGGGACAGGGTGCACCGGCAGCAGGAGGTGACAGGGGAGCTGAATTTCATCTCCAGTGGCAGCACTGACGCCGGCCGCGTTGCTGCTGCAGGGGAGGAGGCTCAGCTGGCACAGGAGAAGATGGAGTCCCTGAGGATGCGGTATCTCATCGTGGGCCAGAGCAGTGCCGACACCATGCACCGGCTGGGGCAGACCCTGGAGGCCTCGTCCCGCCTGGGCACTGCCCAGGAGGACCTGGCGCTTTGGCTGGGCCGCATGGAGAAGGAGCTGGCCTCCTGGGACAGCCAGCATGGCGGCCAGGAGCCCCCGGTCAGCACAAGCGACAGGGAAAAGGTGCAGGACGGGGGGCTCTGGGGACCGTCACCCTCTGCCCCCTTCACCACTCCCTGGCCCCACAGCATTGCTGCCTGCAGCGGGAGACGGGGGGGAGTCGGGTCTGGACGGACGTGGCCGGGTGGGGTACGCCAGGTTATGGCAGAAGGTCCTGTGCTAACCAGCAGCAGACGCACCGGGGCTTTGTGTCCTGGAGAGGCTGCCCCGGTGCGCCTGCCCTCCCTGCCGGCACCCCCGGTGCCCCTCCCCCCCCTGCCGGCATGGCTGACGGCTCTCCTCTCCGCTGCAGTTCGAGCAGATCCTGGACTCCCAGCTTGCCCACTTGGCTGGGCTCGGTGAGCGGCTGGAGGAGATCGGCCAGGTGCAGCTAGACACCCAGGCCCTCCGCTCGCAGCTCTCCGACCAGAAGGTGGGTCTGCAGCGCTGCTCTGGGCTGCGGTGCGCCTCACCGGTACCCACACCCCGCAAAGGGGTGCCCAGAAGTCCCCAGGGATGTTGGCTCCGTGTCCCCACTCTGCTGGGCTCCCAGTTGCGTGCATGGACCTGCTAACGTCTCTGCAGGACCTGGCACCCACACGCCTCTGTCTTCCAGCTGCTCTCTGCTGAGATTCTGCACCACCGGGGACTGGTGGAACGTCTCCTGGGGATCTCGGACCCGCTGCTCCGCTCCTGCCCTGAGCCCTTGCAGCAGCACCTCCAGGTGAGCGGCCATGCCGGGGCTGCACCAGCGGGTGCTGGGTGGGATGCTGCCACAGCAGGGCCCACTTGCACCAGGGGATGGGGGTGCCCCGTGTCCCCCGCCCCGTGGCAGCGGGGCACCCTGGTGAACCGCCCGTCGCCGCAGCCCTCAGTGCAGGTGCTGCGGGAGCGCACGGAGCAGCTCTTCCTGCGCAGCGGAGCCTGCGCCGTGCAGCTGGAGCATGCCCAGTCCCTGCTCGCCCAGTTCTCCGAGGCTCATGAGGAGCTGTCACCCTGGCTGGAGGAGATGCAGGTTGTCAGGGTGCAGCTTTCCCCCAACGCCATCAGCTATGAGGCTTTCAAGGAACAGCAGGCGCTGCTGCAGGTGAGGGCAGGGTGGCCCCAGCTGGGGCATGGGGAAGGGGAAGGCGAAGGCAGGGACATGCTCTGCCAGCCCGCAGGGTCGGGAGCAGTGAGGCAGCCGTGCAACGTGCGGTCTGCAACGGGACAGAGAGGGCACCGCTGCGAGGACTGCTGGGCTGAGGCACCCTACGCACACAAGCACTGTTCATCAGGAGCAGAGCCCGGGTGTGGGTTTGGGGTCAGCCCGGCAGCAGCACCGGGGTGCACTGGGGCACGTCCCCATGTGCCCTGTCCCGGTCCCGTGTGCACCTACGGCCTTTGCTCTGCCCTCAGTGCCTGCGGGAAGCCATCGCGGAGCACCGGCCCCTGATGGGGAAGCTGCAGCGCGTCTCAGCGCAGCTGGTGGAGCTGAGCCCGGAGCAAGGCGCCCCATTCCAGCAGCGCTGGCGGGAGGCAGAGGAGCAGTACTGCCGCATCCGTGAGCGTGTGCGCCAGGCGGCTGCCCTGCTGGAGGATGCCCTGCCGCGTTACAGCCAGGTACGGGGCCGGCACCGGAGTGCTGGTGTCCCCCAGGGCTTCCCCTCAAGTGACCAGGCTGGTCCCCCCGCACCTTCCCCAGCTGACCGAGCGCATGGACCTGCTGCTGGAGTGCCTGGAGCGGCTGGGGAGCCGCCCGCCGAGGGGGCGGCTGCAGAGCCGCCTGCAGAGCCAGCCCTCTGTCCGCGGCGATGCAGCCCACCTTCGGGAGCAGATCCGCGAGAACAGCCTGGCCCTAGGCGAGCTGGAGAAGTTGGGGGTGGCCCTGGAGACCGTCCAGGTGCAGGGCAGCGAGCTGCTGGCCAGCATGCAGGCAGCAAACTCCGACGCTGCTGCCAGAGGTACCGGCACAAAGGGGCAGACACAGCCCCATGGGCAGGTGTGCACATACAGCAGTGCATCCCTGGACATGGGGTGTCCTGGCAGGGCTGTGTCCCTGTTCAGGGCTGTGTCGGGGTGCCGGGTCCCTCACAGCACCTTGAGGGGCCCCAGGCCGAGCCCCATCCCTCTCGTGCCCTGCAGGGATCCAGGAGCGGACGGCGCAGCTGCTGTCCCAGTGGGGCTGCCTGCGGGGCCGCTGCCAGGAGCAGGAGCGCTGGCTGCGGGAGCTGCTGGCGCTGGCCGACCGCTTCTGGCACGGCCTCTCTGAGCTGGCCCTGACGCTGAGCGACACCCAGCAGCTGGTGCTGGGGCTGGAGGAGGCCGGCGGCGAGCCTGAGGCCATCCGCACGCGGCTCCGCACCATGCAGGTATGGCGTGGGGAGGGGGCCTGGTGGGCGGCCCCACGGCACGGGTGGCCCCATGGCACAGGCAGCCCTGCGGTGTGGGCAGCCCCACGGCACGGGCAGCGCCAAGCCCCCTCCTGGCCCACAGGTGCTGCGGGAGGAGATCGACTCGCTGCAGGGTGAGCTGGACACGCTGGGCAGCCTGGGTGTGGAGCTGATGTCCTCCTGCGGGGACCCTGACAAGCCCGACGTCACCAAGAGCCTGGATGATGTGAGTGCCAGTGGGTGTGGGTTCAGCAAGGGATGGGGTCCTGGGGGCATGGGGATGCTGCTTGCAGGGGTGGGACATCCCCGGAGCTGAGCTGCAGCAGGAAAAGGGGCAGGCGTGCTCCCCAGACCCAGTGTCCCCTAGGTCTCCTGGGGCTGGGCTGCATGGAGGGTGGCTGTCCCGGGCTGGTGTCCCTGCACAAGGGACCAGATGTCTGTCACATCCCACACCGGTGCCTGCCATCCCTTGCACCCCACGTCAGTGCTGGCTGGCTCTTGCACCCTGGGCTGGTGCCCACTGACCCCCCGCGCTCGGCCCCCCACGCGGTGCTGCTGACCCCCGTGTCCAGCCCCCCGCACGGTGTCCCTTACCCTCGCACCCTGACCCCCGCGCTCGGCCCCCCGCGCGGTGCCGCTGACCCTCGCGCCCTGCCGCAGCTCTACTCCTCCTGGCACAGCCTGAACAAGGTGTGGACGGAGCGGTACGCCCGCCTCGAGGAGCAGCTCCAGGCCTCCGTCAGCTACCAGGAGACCATGCAGGTGGGGTGCTGGGGGCCCACTCAGGCAGACACCCCACATAGGGGCCTGCCCCCAACCTGCGTCGCCCTCCCCTCCCTGCTCAGGGGTGTGAGGGGCCGCGGGGGCCACTGTGGTGGTCCCTGGGCATGGCTAAAGGCAGGACCTGGCAGTGGGGCCGGCGGTGGGGCCGACTGGGCAGCAGGGCTGTGTGGGGGTGCAGGACTATAGGGGCGTGGGGCTAGCTGGTCTATAGGGCTGCGATGCTGGCTGGGCTGGGGGGGGGAACGGGGCTGGTGAGGAGGGCAGTGGGGCAGGGGGCAGCGGGGCTGGCCGTGCCCGTGTCCTGCCCCAGTGTGACATGGCCACATTTCAGGCTCCCCTTGGTGGGGATGGGGCTGGAGCACCCTCCTGCCCTGTGCTCTGGCCCTCCCTGGGGACCACAGGGGGTCCCAGCCCCGTTCCTGGCCATGGGGCTGCAGAGCGCAGGGGTGAGCGTGCCTGTGCCCCCAGGGACACAGCTGTCCTGGCAGCCTGGCAGGGCTGACGTGTCCGGCATGCGGGGACACAGATGGGGACAGGGTGGGGGGCCTGGGCCCCCCCGGCCTCCCCAACCCCACGGTCCCTCTCTGACCCCAGCGGCTGTTCGAGTGGCTGGACACGGCTGAGCTGCGCATTGCTGAGGAGTTCCTCGTTGGCGGGGACCTGGACATGGTGCAGCAGCAGCTGGCGGAGCTGAAGGTGTGTGGGGCTGGGGGGCAACTGGGGTGCTTGGGGCACCAGTGGGATGAAAGCGTGGCACGTTGGACAGTGCTGGTGCCTCCATGGCACCCGCTCATGGTGGGCACTGGGTGGCCAAGTCTTGCCCGAGGTGGCCAAACCCTGACCCCCCAGGTGCCCCGAGCGGGCAGGGCTCCCCGCTCTCCATGAAGAGGAGCACTGGGCCCACGTGCCCATGCCAAGCTGTGCCATGCTGTGCTGTGGCATGCCAAACCACGCGGTGCATGCCAGACCCAGCTCTGCCATGCTGTGCCATGCCGTGCTATTCTGTACCAACCAGACCCAGCTCTGCCATGCCATGGTGTGCTGTGTCGTGCTGTGCTGTGCCATGCCATCCCCTGCCATTCTGTGCCAAACCAGACTGAGTTGTGCCATGCCATGCTATGCTATGCTGTGCCATGCCAAACCATGCAGTGCATGGCAGACCCAGCTCTGCCATGCCATGCCACACCATGCCACGGCATGCCATGCTGTGCCATGCCAAACCAGACCCAGCTCTGCCATGCCATGCTGTGCCGTGCCGTGCTTGGTGGCATGGCAGACCCCCGTCTCCATGCATTGGGGCTGGGGGACACCCGCTCACCGCTGCCCTGCAGGAGTTCAAGAGGGAGCTCTACCAGTGCAAGGTGGATGTGGAGAGCCTGCGGCACCAGGCCAGCCCAGGGGGCACAGGGCAGGGGGAGCCCCCGGCCCCGCTCAGCGACTTCCGCCAGCGCTGGGACCGCCTGGAGGAGGAGATCGTCAGCCGTCAGGTAGGGAGGGGGCCCAGCCGGTGCAGGGGCAGTCCTGGGCATGGGGCAGGACTGGGTGGGTGCTGCTGTCCTGGGCATGGGGGCTCGGGGGCTCAGGAGGTGGTGGTAGCACCTGAGCTGTTGACCAGATCTGCCACCAGCACGAGGCAAGAGCCGCAGCAGGGTGGGTGCATGGGGTGCTGTGCGGGTGCTGGGTGTGTGGTGCTGTGCGGGTTCGTGGGGGCTGTGCAGGTGCATGGGGTGCCCTGTGGGTGTGGGGTGGGTGTCGGGCCGTGCAGGCACTGGGTGCACGATTCCCTGCAGTGCCCAGGGCACCACAGGTGCGCGGGGCTGTGCGGGCGCTGGGCGCGTGGTCAGGGCTGCCATTGCTCCCACCAAACGTGTGCCTGATTCCGCCCTTGCCGGGGCAGCACCAGCTGGAGGCGGCTCTGCTGGGCCTGGGGCAGTTCCAGCACCAGCTGGAGGAGCTGCTGCAGTGGCTGTCCCGCCCCGCCGAGCAGCTGCAGGGCCCGACACTGCTGCGCCTCGACCTGCAGAGCTGCGAGATCGAGCTGGCCAAGCACAAGGTGAGTGCGGCAGCGGGACAGGGCTGCCTGCACACCGTGTCTCAGGCTGCCCAGCTGCTGCCCTGGCCATCGGCTGCCTGCTCCGACAGCTGGGCATCCTCGTGGGGATGTCCCCCGGTGGGGTACATGGCACAGTCCCACTGTGTCCCGTTGCACAGGAGGTTCCAGTCGTGGCCCTCCTGTTGCGGGGCTGCATCCTGGCCCCAGGGTGCTGCCTGGCCCTGCCCCGGGTGGTTTGGCCCCGTCCTGCTAGCACTGCCCTGGACCCCTGCGGTGATGGCGGCTGGGTTGGGCAGGCTGCAGCTTGGGGCGGGCAGCGTGAGAACACGTTCCCACCCTTCCATGGAAGGAATGAGCTGTTTCAACGCCTGCCGGGAGGCAGCCGAGGCTGCGGCTGGCCCAGAGCTGCTTCGCTTTGCCTGGGCACGCTTGTGCTGTGTCTGACGCAGGCGAGGTGCTGTGAGGTGGCAGGCCAGTCCTGCGGACGGGGGGCCGTGCGTGGGGGGGGTGGCCCCGGCCTCCTGTGTGCCCTGTCCCAGCAACCTCCCTGCCATGAAGCGGCAGATTTGGTGCCTCGCACCTGCCCTGTGCCATGCTGAGGACAAGAGCCAGGGTGCTGCCTCTGGGGTGTCCCCAGGTGCCATCCTCCCCTGGCGTGGCACTCCCCAGACCCCAGCCCTGTGGGAGTGCTGATGCCGCAGTGGCAGCATTGACGTGGGAAGCAGAGGTGGCCCGGGCACCCAGGGTGAGGGGCTTTGCATGGCGTAGTTGGCCGGGGATGTGGCGTGCCCCCCGCCGGGGTGCTGGCTGTGACCGCGGCACGCTGTCCCCAGGTGCTGAGGAACGACGTGATGTCCCATGCCCACACGGTGCAGTCCGTCAACGAGGCTGGGCAGGGCTTGCTGCTCTCCAGCCTGGGGGAGAGCATGGAGGGGCTCCAGCGCAGCCTGCAGCAGCTCAACCAGCGCTGGGACCTGGTGCAGAGCGAGACCGAGAGCCGCCAGCTGGAGCTGGAGAACAACCTCAGCCAGGTACGGGGCACCACGTGTCTGTGTGCCGGGGCTGCCCGCCACAGTGCTCAGGGTCGGGGGCCCCGCGTGTCTGTGGGCGGGGGCCCCCCGCCACAGTGCTGCCCGCTGGCAGGGGCAGCGCTGAGCCCCCGCGCCGCCCCCAGGTGCAGGACATCACGCTGGAGATCACGGAGCTGCTGCAGTGGCTGGAGCAGGTGGAGCTGCAGCTCTTCTTCTCCAGGCCGGCGTGGGGCCACCCGGACACCACCAAAGAGAAGCTGACCACACACCTGGTGAGCACCGGGGCTGTGCCAGCCCACCAAGCTGCAGGGCCGTCCCTGAGTGTCCCTTGGGGGTGAACATGTGCCCCAAATCTGCTCGTCTCTGCGCCGAGGTGCCGGGACCCTTCTCTGCTTCTCCCCTCCCCAACCAGGCAGAGTCTTCCTGCACCCCTCCCCTGCCCCCTCCAGCTCCCCTGGGACAGAGCGGGAGCCCTCCCCATCCCCGTCCCTGTCCCCGTCCCCCTGCGGGGCAGTGACCCCGGGGCTCCCCGCGGCCTCTTGGCAGGAGCTATGCAAGGAGATGGAGTCCAAGCAGGAGGCGTACAGCAGCGTGCGGGAGCGGCTGCAGCGGCT